CAGAGTAAGCTATACGTGTTATATGAACACAGCGCGGGGTTCGCGCTGTTTCGTGTGGCGGAGTTTGAAGAATTAGCAGCATTTCTGCCGCAAGTTGAAGAATCTGTGACTGATTTACAAAGATTCAATTCAGTTGTTACATTAATCGCATTCCAACCATTTAAATCTGCTGTGGTTGCATTGGAAAACATTAATGCAATATCTGAAGGTTAGTCCCACGTTGTTAAATAGTATATTTCTTAAAAAAAATGCTTTTCCACGTCTTGTTTAAATTATGTCGATAAATTCAGACTATTCAAGCTTCACTTTTGATAATTTGCGTCAAAGAGTCCAAAAGTTTAATCAAACTTTAACAAAAAATCCTCGATTTAAATATGCATTTTAAAGTCTATATATTTACGTTTCAAAATACAATTTTGACACAGGTATAGTCCCAGAGGATCTAAACTTGTTTTTGGAGGGAGCGCTACCAAAGCGTAAGAAGAGAGGAAAATGTACCTTAGGTGTGGCAGACCCCAAACTGGGGGCTGCCATCAGCGAGGCATTGGAGATACCATGCTCACACACTGGTGCTGTGCCCGAACTCATCAGAGGTAATTTTTTATAAGTTACTTTGAACCAGAATAAATTTAATATTTATTATAGACACCTTTGTTGAGTTTTGTATGATTTTACTTTAAACTTATAAGTGATAAATCAGTAATTAAGGAATTATAACTTGACCAGGAATATAGAACACGCCATATCTTGAGGTTATCTATTTTAAAAATATGTCACTTAGCTTTTTTCAAATTCTAGTATAGAAATTGTTTTTTTTTCTTAGCTTATATCATACTAGATGTCGCTTGCGGATCTGTCCATGCGGAAATAAAAATAATACATAAAAGTCTATGTGTTCTTGCAGACTACGCTCTGCATCTATGCTAAATTTCTTCTAAATGCATTTAGCTGTTCTGGAGATACCTTCAAACAAACATCCATCTAAACTTTTGTGTTTATAATTTTAGTAAGATTGCTTTATTTGTGATGTTTCTAGGTATCCGCCATCACTTCCATGCTCTGATCAAAGGTCTGACATTGAAGGCGTGCAGTGTGGCACAGCTCGGTCTGGGTCATTCGTACTCTCGCGCTCGTGTCAAGTTCAACGTGCACCGTGTTGATAACATGATTATTCAATCTATTGCATTATTGGATCAACTCGATAAGGATGTTAATACATTCTCTATGAGAATCAGGTGAGTTTTGATATAAACTATACTATTTGAATCTTTTTTTTTATGTTAACACATTCAATAATTCCTAAGGTCATTGTTAACCTACTCTTATTCCTATGGAGGGTCGGCACTGTATGTACTCCTCCACACATCTTTACTATGATTCTTAAAGTGTAATTGAATCGAAAATTGTATACAATTTTAGTAACAAAAGCATAGTTGTTCAGTACAGAACAAGAAATAAAAGAATGTTGCCAATAGGTTAGATGCGTTTTTAATTTGAAAAAGGTACATTGGTGGTATGACAACTGAGCGCGTGAGTGCGAGAATGGAAAGAATGAGTGCTTGAACGTCGTTCCCGCGCCGTTTGGCGCAGATATCAGTAATTAAGTTTGATGTTATATAGCTTAAAAATACTAAACTTGGCATACAGTTAAACCTACATAAACCTTACATAAAGCTGGAAAGTTGTGTAAGAGAAAACTCTATAAGTGAGAAAAATGTCATGGTCCTTTGGACTCTCACTTATCCAGTTTCAATTGTTTGTTACAACATAATAAATATGTTCAAAAAAAAAGCATTGGTCTATATGTAAAAAAAAATCATTGAACAGAAAGTGGGTTCAATATTAATTATAAGATTAGAGTCAAATAAACAAAAGAATTCTCGAAGGATGGCAACGCATCTATGATTCCTCTGGTATTATATAATAGATGTCCATGGGGGTCATTGAACAGGTTCCCATTGGTCAGTTAGCCTTTTATTTTATTAAAAACAAACAGTTTAAAAGCTATATATTTTCCTTAAACACTAAATTGTTATTTTTTTCTTAAGTAAAGTTAATTATTTTATTTTTCAGAGAATGGTACTCATACCATTTCCCGGAGCTTGTCAGTATTGTACCTGAGAATAATTTGTACACGAAATGTGCGGAATACATCAAAGACAGGAAGTCACTCTCAGAAGAGTCGGTGGAGCCGTTAACAGAGATCTTGGGAGACTCGGAGAAGGCTCAAGCAATTATTGATGCATCCAAAATGTCAATGGGAATGGATATATCTCCTGTTGACTTGATTAATATACAAATGTTTGCCGGTAGAGTTGTTGCTTTAAGTAACTACAGGTAAATATTTATATAAGAAATATTACATAAAGCCCATATATATAATATAAAGAAATATATGTACATAAGCAAATTTCACATAAAATGTACATTATTTACATGAAGTTGCCCTCGACTTTGTCTGAGCAGAATTAAAATCAAGTAATAAATATGGCCTATTTTACCCAGCTACGTAATATTAGGGAGTGGACGGGGATTAGGTCAGCGGAGGGACTGTTTCGCCTTGCACTTGACAGAACCAAATATTCCAAGTTAGCGGCAAAGCTTCAAGACTGAAGAGGCACTAGAATGTTACCCACAGATATTGTAGTTTCAAACTGTAAATTTTTCAAATCCGTTCAGTAGTTTTGGAGCTTATTCAAAGCAAAAATATGTCAATTTCTCTTGTCATGATGTTAGTTACCATACTCTTTATAAAATTTGATATGCATATTCAGTAGTTCTAAGATTCGGTTACTATCTATCACAGACAGAGTTGCGGGCGAGAGCTAGTATTAGTATAGATTTCTTATCTTATTGTATTACTAAACATGTAACAATTTGTATAGGAAACAAATAGCAGAATACCTGCACACTAAAATGAACTCGGTGGCTCCAAACCTGACCACATTGATCGGAGACCAGGTGGGCGCGAGGCTGATATCCAAAGCGGGATCACTCACCAGTCTCGCCAAGTACCCAGCCTCCACACTACAGATACTTGGTAAGGGAACAAATACATAAAAGATTAAAAAATCTTTTATTTTTCTCTTTCAAAAAAACTGCAGCAGTATTATCTTATTCAAATACGTAATTTCCTTAATGTAGTATACGGATTTCCGAACGAGGTCGGGGGTTGGAATCCCACCATTCGACTATTGTCGTAAACCATATCCTACCACAAGGATAGAGCTTAGTTGGAATGATAAAAAAAATATTAGTAAATTTACAAAGAAATCTGCTATTATAATAAAAAAAAATAACCTATATTTCTCAT